CACTGCATGCAACTGCTGTTAAATCCATCACTGCTATTTCAAATTCATCTTGGATATACTTCCACCTGAGTATCCTGCCTTTGCTTGAACTGTACCAGTCAGCAAATTAACACTGTCCATTTCAAACCCAGGAGCAATCCCCATTTTGGTCAAACTTACCAATAATGATGATGATGATAATGACAACAACACCTATCAATATTGCCCACATCTGTGGAAAAAAAAAAAAAGATATAACACTTACTACACACCATGCAACAGCACCAAGTGCCCCTCAGGGAACAGGAAAACAGCCCTGCAAGGGACTTTCAGCACTCTGTCAGATCTAAAGTGGCAAGCAAAGGTTCTCCAGTCAGCAAGCTCAATCCACTACCAGCACTCAGAGATGGCAGGCCATGCACACAGGCACACAGAGCAATAAGGGTTTCTCCACAAAAAGCCTGTCCCAATGAATGCACAAGCTGTTCTGTTACTCACCAAAGATGAATCCAACCTTTGGCAACAGCTACAAGTACAGGAGTCTGAGTGAGCTTCTTCCACTTTCTAATACTTCCCCACACATTAATTCAAGCTATGCATTTTTAACCTTTTCTTCTTGTTTCTCAAGATTACTGACATGCTTCCCCTCTGGCCATTACCAGACAAGACCCTGCCTGGGGCAGCACAGCCAGTAACACACTGTTTGTTAATTTAATGCCATGCTTTAAAAACCAGATGCTGTGACTTAAAAAACATTGACTAAACATTTTCTGCCTTGTGAGACACAAACTGTGAGTGCTCCAGGCACAGTGCAGGCTCACAGGCCAGGGTTACCTTGCAGTTCTTCCACCAGTACTTCCTCTTCAGCTTGGCCGCGCTGGTCTCGAACTGGGAGGCTCCTGCTTGCAGGGCATCAGCGCGGTCATCCAGCTCTGACAGCTTCTGATCCCGCTCCAGGACCTTGTCCACGTTCACCCTCATGATGTCAACAACCTGTAGCAGTGAAGGGCTTGCAGTGAGAGACCACACAGTGCAGCACAGACACAGACAGCTCCACAAGGTAATCAGTGTTTTCTCAGAAGCAGGAGCTATTATCTTTTAGTATATGCAGCCATAAGCTTAAAGAAAACTATGAGATCCACCTGTGGCTAGAAGCCCTGAATGCCTACTTTAAAAAGTCAGTTGTGGTATGGTTTCTCTGGCTCTGGATTGAAGGCACTGAGACAGTAGCTCACATTCACACTTAGGTGTTTATTATTTCTTATCAGTAAAACAGTCTCACTGCTGTGAGTTGGGCAGCTTTTCATTAGAAGGCACAAAATGGCCAACAATCTCTTGGTACAAGGGCTTTTCAGACTAAACTGTCCCATTAAGAGCTGACACCTGGATTATTTCCCCTTTTAACCCAATAACTGATACCAAAGAGCTGCAGTGCAGACTTTTCCGCCCAATTACAAAATGCCACCCAAACCCATGGAGAAGGAGGAAGAAGAAGCATGAAGAAGAAACCCAGGACAACACCCTGTACCCTCCATCTTGCTCCCATCCACAACACACTAAAAATCGCAAAACCTCAATTTCTCACCAAGTGACACACCTGCACTGCTCTCTATAATCCATTTCACACTTTTGTGGATTCCAGTCTATCTTGATGTTTGGGAAACTTTCTCCATGAATGAGGGTCAGAGTCAGTGCTGCCCAGGGGGTCAGGGCACCCCAGAGCCCCACAGGGAAATATTCCCAGTGCTCTGGGTTTCCACAGTCAGTAGTGCTGGCATGTCTTCAAACCTGGGAAAGACTTCCTGACTTGCCTCAGAAGGAGTTGAGGAAAATAAACATGATAGCAAACCACGCCAAGAAATACTTGCCAGCCAGCCTGGCTTTTGGATTCCACAAAAATCACATTGGTAGCCAGCTCTCATAGCTACTGATGAAAAAAAAAGCTTGTTCGCTGCAAACAAAGGTTTTTGTCTTTACTTATGCCAACTCCTCAAGCACCAAGTCTGCTGCTAATGTTTGCACACTGGGAACCTCTCTTTGCTTCCCCTTCATATAATGAAGGGAAAACTGCTTTGGAAAAAAATATCCCTTTTAATTGCACATGTTTCCTTCAGGAAGAGGCTGGCACTATGACCAGAGCAGACTTTACCTCATCCACTTGGTGCTGGGTTTGCTGCAGCCGGCGATTGCTGCCAGCAGCCATGTTTGAGCTCCCAGGGACATTGGCCGACCTGCAGTAAAAATAGGCATCATTACACACCTGACAGTCCTGGAAACTTGGAACTTGTAACCTTGTAATAAATACAGGGCAGTTTCTTACTGGGAAAATGATGCTTTAACAGCTGACAGTGGGTGCAAGTCGTGCAGCATCCCAAAGATCTTGCCAACAAATTGCCTGTTGTGCTAAGAGGCAGCAGCAGCTTTGCAATGAGGCGGGGACAGCACCAACAATGTTCCAGAGGCTCACAGAGTGAGCAGTGAGGGCTCAGGGTGTTCTTCCTTTCCCATATGAACACAAGTACTAAGTTTCAAGCAATAGTAGTTTACAAAAATTAAATGCAAAAGCTTAATACTTATTATAACTACGTGATTTTCCACCGATGCTTCTCTGTGCTCTTGAAATGGTTGATATGGAGCAAGAGAAAGCATCACAAGGAAAAAGTATTTGGAAAATACAAAATGTAACTTCAGTCAGCTTTAAATTTGTAACAGAGTTCTTTTTACCATCTTTATAATGGATGCAAGAGCTTCTGTACATACTTCTTATTACCTTTTCACCATCTGGCCAGGTTTTTAATGTTCTAGAACTATTTGCACTCAATTTCCTTTCCCATGGTCTTAGTTCTTTTGCATTAGCAGCTTGTTTAGTTTATCCTGGCACTCTAAACGGCTAAGTCTGACTGTTTCCTGTATTTACACATTTGCCCATTGGCTTTATCTTGCCCGTAATGAGCACAGGCGCAAGGCGGGAGCAGGGCAAAGCTCGGACCGACCCTGTCACTGTTTGGTGCCACCCTCCGGTGCCGCTTCAGCGCCGCTCCCAGGTGAGCGGGCTCGGAAATGACAGCGCTTCCTGCGAGCTCCCAAACACAGCAA